ACACGTGTTTCGCTAACCATGTAAAACTGAATATTCTATTCATATCTTGAACAACATGAAGGTACAGCTATGAGTAATTGTTTATCGCTTTCCCTTGCTGAACTGTTCATGAATCGATGTGATGCGAATGCAAAAAAAAATTCGAGTATTCCCCTAGGGATTGAATTAGATGTGTCGATGATATTTTGATACAAAAACCACAGATAAAGATGAATTCATTTCAAAATTGAATAACTGCTTTCCCTCTAACAAATTCACTTATGAATGCGAAAATCATAGCAAAGTACCTTTCTTAGCTGATGTACTTTTGATCAAAAATAGCGAAAAGAACTTAGAATTTGATGTCTTTGGAAATGAAACTAACACATTTAGATACGTCGAAGCCCTGAGGGGGCAGCAGGACGATCTAGCCTTCATAGCCATCTAATGGCTCGAGTGCAAAGGTGTATGGTAGATTCATCAATCATACCTAGCGAGTAAGTCGTGCATATAGACCCCTACGTCTATATCCTTACAGAAAAGACAACCATGTCAGATTCTGTAGACTATCGCAACACCTGTAATTCTCGAAGTGGTTTAATGTTCCACTAACAGATGATGATAAACCTAGAAACTCAAGACAAAGAGATTCTAGGAAAATTTCGTGAATCGATTGTCAGCTGATGCAAGACAGACTGTTCCGACTTGCCATAAGTCTCATCAGTTGCTCTGGCCAGCTGACAATCGATTCACGAAGGGTACCTCCATATATCAAACAAGTCGAAGCCCTGAGGGGGCAGAAGGACGATCTAGCCTTCATAGCCATCTAATGGCTCATGTGCAAAGGTGTATGGTATATTCATCAATCATACCTTGCGAGTAAGTCGTGCATATAGACCCCTACGTCTATATCCTTACAGAAAAGACATCCATGTCAGATTCTGTAGACTATCGCAACACCTGTAATTCTCAGAGTGGTTAAATGTTCCACTAACAGATGGTGATGAACCTAGAAACTCAAGACTGAGAGATTCTAGGGTAATTTCGTGAATCGATTGTCAGCTGATGCAAGACAGACTGTTTCGACTTGCCATAAGTCTCATCAGTTGCACTGGCCAGCTGACTATCGATTCACGAAGGGTACCTCCATATATCAAACAAGTCGAAGCCCTGTGGGGGCAGCAGGACGATCTAGCCTTCATAGCCATCTAATGGCTCAAATGCAAAGGTGTATGGTAGATTCATCAATCATACCTTGCGAGTAAGTCATGCATAGAGACCCCTACGTCTATATCCTTACAGAAGAGACATCCATGTCAGATTCTGTAGACTATCGCAACACCTGTAATTCTCAAAGTGGTTTAATGTTTTACTAACAGATGGTGATAAACCTAGTAACTCAAGACAAAGAGATTCTAGGGAAATTTCGTGAATCGATTATCAGACTGTTCCGACTTGCCATAAGTCTTATCAATTGCACTGGCCAGCTGACAATCGATTCACGAAGGGTATCTCCATATATCAAACAAGTCGAAGCCCTGAGGGGGCAGAAGGATGATCTAGCCTTCATAGCCATCTAATGGCTCAAGTGCAAAAGTGTATGGTATATTAATCAATCATACCTTGCGAGTAAGTCGTGCATATAGACCCTTACGTCTATATCCTTACAGGAAAGTTATCCATGTCAGATTCTGTAGACTATCGCAACACCTGTTATCCTCAAAGTGGTTTAATGTTCCACTAACAGATGGTGATAAACCTAGAAACTCAAGACTAAGAGATTCTAGGGAAATTCCGTGAATCGATTGTCAGCTGATGCAAGACAGACTGTTTCGACTTGCCATTAGTCTCATCAGTTGCACTGGCCATCTGACAATCGATTCACGAAGGGTACCTCCATATATCAAACAAGTCGAAGCCCTGAGGGGGCAGAAGGACGATCTAGCCTTCGTAGCCATCTAATGGCTCAAATGCAAAGGTGTATGGTAGATTCACCAATCATACCTTGCGATTAAGTCGTGCATATAGACCTCTACGTCTATATCCTTACAGAAAAGACATCCAGATACATACCTAATGCACAGCACAAAATGGCAAGTTTAAATTTTCTAGTACACAGATTGATTTCATTTTCTCTGAACAAAGAGAGATTCAATGCTGAAAGAAGTGTTGTTCATGAAGTGGCTGGCGTCAATGTGTATGTTATCAAAATAGTAGATAAATTAATACGTAGACATAAATTTAAGTTAACACTTCAATATTTTACGAATTTTCAAGTGGATAAAAAGAACTCTAGAAGAATCCCAATCCCGTTCAATCCCAAGTATACGAAGGGACTTGATAAGGTTCTCGAAGACTTAGGTTTTGAAAGCGTTTATCAGTCTGGGTCAAAATTAGGCAATTCATTAGGCAATCCAGAAGATAAAGGGGACACACTCCAAAAGTCGGGAATATACGAGGCGAGTTGTCATGATTGTGATAAAACATGTATAGGCCAAACCAGGCGACCCATAAAAACAAGGTTCAAAGAACACATAGCCCATTCAAAATATGGCAGGTTAGATGAATCTTGTGTAGCCGAACATATGTTCGATCACAATCATAACACACATATCACTAACCTCAAATTAGTTAAACAAGTTTATAACATTAAAAAACTAGACGCATATGAAAGCTCAGAGATATTCAAGAAGAGTGATAGATTAATAAATAAGGATAATGGACCTATTCATTATCACCGATACAACAAGGCCTGCATGCTCCGTGGGTGACGTCACTTAGTGAGGCCTAACCAGCGGCTCGGCTATAAGGCGACCGCGTATTTCGATTTTAGTTTTAGATCATCATTGAGCCGATTTTGCTGTTTTTTGAAGGGCTTCCGGTTAAAAACGGATGCCAGTCGTCAACTGAGCCCTTCTTCGCACCCCATTCGATTTTATTATGGAGAAACGAAGTTTGAAAGCAGAAACCAGGATAAAACACAAATATCCACCTACAGCAACCCATTCAGATTGGATATATTGGCAAAAATTGTGGTGAAGTTAAACTTCACACCTACTTATACAGGGCCCGCAGAACATAAACTTATCGTGAGATTAATCGAAAGAAAATTGTGGAAAATGTATTTTATTTTGATTGACATGCCGTTTGTTACAATTACCTATATTTATCTTGGAGAATTTCTGTCACCTGAAGAAATAACCAGTGAGTGTTTTCAATTTTCTGTTGTTGGATTTTTTACCCAAGTGGATCGTCACACAAAACTGCATTTATCATGCGATGGTTTTTTTTGCAAATTTTTTTCGGTACTCACGTATTTTTGTCTGATGAACCGGATTTTATAATGAAAATGTGAACAAACCACTATTTTGATTGGGTGCGTATCGTTTCAGCCACATTTCTTCTTAGCCACATATCGTGTTAGCCACATTTCGTCTCAGCCACATCTCGTTTCAGCCACATTTCGTCTCAGCCACAGTGTCCGAATATACCCGAACGATGCGATGTTGCCAGATAAAAACCGATTCTCCCAATTTAGCAGAAATACACAATGCAGCTTCTTTTCGTTCCAGCCACATTTCGTCTTAGCCACATTTCGTCTCAGCCACATTTCGTGTCCATTTCGTTCCAGCCACATTTCGTTTTAGCCACATTTCGTCTCAGCCACATTTCGTGTCCATTTCGTTCCAGCCACATTTCGTTTTAGCCACATTTCGTCTCAGCCACATTTCGTTTTAGCCACATTTCGTCTTAGCCACATCTCATCTCAGCCACATCTCATCTCAGCCACATTGCGTGTCCATTTCGTCTGAGCCACATTTCGTCTTGGCCACATTTCGTCTTGGCCACATTTTGTCTCAGCCACATTTCGTCTCAGCCACATCTCGTGTCAGCCACATTCTGTCTCAGACACATTCCATTATTGAGACGTCAAATAAAAATGTTCAAAAGTGATGGAAATGAATGTCTTACAGAATTTGAAGGATTGAATAGTTATATTAGAGATAATTATTTTTTGAACCCGTTTATGTGGAACAAATTCGCTTCTCCAGCCTTATATGATACATTCTGAACGTAATGCGTGTTGCATAGTTTCGCCGTGTAATATCGTAATACAACAAGATACTTGCATCTAGCTACATGTAATGTGCATGAATGAGTGCAAGTAGGTAGGTTGGATAGGTAGGTAGGTAGGATATGTTGTTCTCCATTCCCCATAAATTTTTACCGCAAGCAAACTGACAGCGATGAAATCAATTCAATTGAATCATTGAAGAAATCCGAGACCAAGGATACAATGACATACATTGAAAGTTAAGATAGGCACATGAAAACCGCTTTGGCCAATGATGAATAGTTTCGACACAATAAAATTCATAAGTTGAAAAATCTCGATTTTGAACACCCTATTTATCTGTAATCATGTCTGCTAGGCCCCAAGTGTGATGTATCGATGAAATCAGCCCTTCAGTGAGAATCTATAAATGCAATAATGTACAGGGTGTCTCATTGAAAAAACGGAGTTGATGTCACTTTCGGTTCAACCGAAAGTGAAGCTGATTAGAAAAATAGATCTCCTCACGCAATGGCTGTAGGTAGGTACCGAAAATTCCAGATTGATGTCTCTTTTAGTTCTCTATGAACATCTCATGAATTTGTTAGTTGAATAACCCTGTATATTCAAATATGTTCAAAATCACATTATCCACCGCCTCCTTCCAGATATACGTCGGTGAACCGAATTGGGAAAAACTGGGAAAACAAAACAATGATCTCAAATGAAAATAAATTATCAGTTTCATATGCATCACTCTGAAGAGATAGAATCTGCAGGTGAAATACCCACAGACTAAAATTAATGAAGGAGTTATTGAAGAAAAACATCAGAAAAAAGATTTTCCAAAAATATATTATGCAACCAACATTCTCCCAAGCATACTATGAGCATCATAATAACTGGCAACACCCTGTGGGATACCTAGAACAGAACAGTTAACTATAATAATAATAATAATGCCAAGATGGCGGGCGATGAAGTACACTCTCATGACGCTCCTAATGAAAAAGTCGAAAAAACGTGTTTTCACTGCAATAAGAAAGTGGAAAATGATTCAAAGTGCATAAAGTGTAAATACAGTTTCCATCCAGCATGTCTGAGACAAGCTGCAGCGAAAAAAAACGCAGTGTGTGCCCACGAGGTAGATGGAAAGTTGTCTGTTCATAATATGGTTTCTTCAGTTCCTACTCCTGCTAAAGAATGCCAAGTCTGTCAAGCTAAAGAAACTGAAATCCAGCTGCTGAACATGCTTGTTGAAGAGCTGCGCAGTAAGAACAGGATTTTAGAAGAAAATTCAGGACTGCTGAAGGAAATTGCCGAGTTGCTGAAGGGAAATTTAGATAAGTACGAGAACCAGAACGAAAAACATGCTACAAAAAAAGGTAAACAGTCTACCGATAATCCCACTACCCATACCACCATAGCCAAGGTCAATAAGAATAGTGAAGTTAGCAACAACTCGAAAGTCTTAGTAATAAAGACCCCTAGCACCAAGACCAGCTTAAGCGAATTGGCTGTCACGGTTCCGAACTGTTCTGACATGGTTCCGACCGAGGCCAAGGAGTTGAACCAAATCATAAGTGAAGAAGAACATGATTCAACCAATAACCCCAATAAGAAGAACAAATTAGGAAATACGTTGTCAAATTTGCAACAAAACATGATGGACAATGTAATCAACTTAAACAATGATATACCACAGGATGAAATTATTCAAGCCTCGGGTCAAGCTGAACAAAATGGTAACGAATGGACAAATGTGGTTGGAAGAAGGAAGAAAACCATCAAAAAAAGGGACCCAAAAAGTCGTCCACCACCAATTATGGGTTCAAATGATACCACCATGGGAATCTCTGCTGCACAAAAGTACTCCTGGCTATTTGTTTCTGGCTTGGAGGGAAGTACGCAAGCCCAAGATGTGTTGAACTATCTGAACACTATCAACAAACAAAATTATGTATGTGAAAAACTTCGAACAAAAAATGAAAGATATGTGTCATCATTCAAAATTGGTGTACCAGCTGCTCTCAAAGAAACCATTATGGATGGGAAAATCTGGCCCAATGGTGTCATCATCAACCTTTTTATGAATCTCAAGAGTCTTGCCAGACAATAAATAATGAACCAGTCCATCTAGTTTATGAAAATAAATGCGGTGGAGGAGAGCCATCCAATGTCATGTCAACTAGAATAAATTTCAAAATAGTCCATATTAACATAGGTTCATTACGTAACAAATTTAATGAAACTGAAATATTTTTACACCTTAACGATATAGATGTACTGTGCCTGAGCGAGCATAGTCTGAAGGAAGATGAAATAACTCTTTCAATGTTGAAAGACTACAATCTAGCAGCAGCTTACTGTAGAAAATCCACAACTAGGGGTGGATCAGCTATTTATGTCAGGAGTAGGTATACATTTTCAACTGTGGAAAGCATGATTATCAAATCAATTGAAAAAATAGTTGAAATTAGTGCAGTAACCATAACAGGTTTGAATATATTTATCATTTCAGTGTATAGACCACCCTCTGGGGATTTCTTTACCTTTATGGAAGTATTAGAAGAAATTATGATTGAAATTGGTGTTAATAAAAAAATCATATTGACTGGTGACTTCAATGTACATTTTGGTACAAATGAGATAAATGAGAGGCTATTACTGGATCTGCTTCAAGGTTTTGGCTTTGATCAAAAAATATTCACACCCACTAGACTAAACAATTGCATTGATAATGTCTTCTGTAACTTTACCTCAAATCAATGTGAATCGAAAAACATTGATCCTGCTCTTTCAGATCACATGGGACAGCAAGTTACTTTCCAACTTAATCAAAATCATATGAGAAGGGAAACTATCAAAAAGGTATGTAGACCTATAACAAAGAAAGGTCAGGATGCATTTCATCTGTATGTATCTAACATTGACTGGTCATTCATTAAATCAAATGAGATTCAACCTGAATCAAAGTTCAGAATATTTTTTAGTCTGGTCTTGGAGGCCTATAACAAATCATTTCCTCTGAAAACATATCATAATAAAAAATCTTCAAAAATAAACTGCAGCTGGTTTTCCCAGGAACTAAGGTTGAAGCGAGATCATTTAGAATTTCTAAATGAATGCTACAAACAGAACCAGAGCGCTGTCTTCTTAACAGAACGTAACCGCTTCCGAAAAATGTATAAAAAGTCAATAGCAGATGCAAAAAAAGCTGCAAATGACAGACTCATTAGTAACTCTAGTTGTCAAGTGAAAACAATTTGGCAAATTATAAATGGGTGTAGAAAAACTAAAACCAGTGAAAATTCGAAGCAACCGGACCTTTCTCCTGAACAAATGAACAACTTCTTTGTAAATGTCTCATCCGAATTACTAAGAAACATTCCTAAAGATGAAAGTGATTCCCAGCTTGTGACTGCAAACATAATTAAACCAAGTAATATATTCAGCTTTGATGAAGTAACTTATATTCAAATGAGGGACATTATATCTAGTCTCAAAAATAAAACCACCAGGGATATCAATGGCCTTAGTACTAAAATAATAAAAAGTATCAGAGAAATAATACTATATCCTCTTACTGACATTATAAATCAATGTATCAATGCAAGTGTTTTTCCAGAAATCCTTAAAGAAGCATTAGTAATTCCAATTTTCAAGAATAAAGGGGATATAAATGATGTCACAAATCATAGGCCCATATCTATACTTCCTGTATTTTCTAAAATATTTGAGAAGGCCATAGCACTACAAATCACAAGATTTTTTGAAAAATATAAGATATTCACAAACTGCCAGTATGGGTTTAGACAAAACCATAGCACAATTACAGCTATGATGGATCTAGTTGGTTTTATAAATGAAGGTTTTGAAAATAAAGAGTCGGTTTGTTCAATTTTCTGTGATCTATCGAAAGCGTTCGATTGTGTCTCTCACTCCAAGCTCCTACAAAAGCTGAAATGTTACAATTTCGATGATAATAGTTTAACTTTAATAAAATCATATATGTCAGACAGGAAGCAAAGAGTCAAACTTGGAGATAAAATCTCAGCAGAGCGGGAGTTGAGTGTCGGGGTCCCACAAGGATCTATTCTGGGACCACTGTTGTTCTTGATTTACATTAACAACTTGCCAAGTTCTGCAAATCTAGAAAAATTCGTTCTGTTTGCTGATGATACAACTATTTCATTCCGTGGTAAACTTCCTGCAGATGTGGAAGCCAGGAGTGATGAGGCGCTACAAAATGCCAAATCTTGGTTCGCTGCAAATGACCTTTTTTTAAATGAAAACAAAACAAACAAATTGTTATTAACTCTGTGTAGGAATAATGAAAATGAGTACCTGGAAAGTGTCAAGTTTCTAGGTATTCATTTAGATTCAAGACTGAGCTGGCAAAATCATATAGAAATAATGTCCAAGAAACTTAATAGCTCGATTTTTGTTCTTCGAAATTTAGCAGATATTGTATCTTTCACCTCACTTGAGACTGCCTATCACGCTACTTTTCATGTACACCTTAGCTATGCTAACATTATCTGGGGTCATGCAGACATCAATAGATTATTTGCCTCACAACGAAAAGCTATAAGAATAGTAGCTGGGCTTCGATATAAAGATGACTGTCGCCATGTTTTTAGTTCAATGGAAATCTTGACACTTCCCTGTATATATATTTTACAAAACTTACTGCATATCAGGACAAATTTAACCTTATATACTAGAAATTGTGATATTCATCATTACTCAACTAGAAATGGAGCTGATCTTTTAATTCCCTATCATAGACTCACGAAATGCCAAAATGGCACAAATTACTGGGCTGTTAAGTTTTTCAATCACCTTCCTACTGAGGTTAGAGATTTACCGATAAAAACATTCAAATCGCATGTAAAGAAATTCCTGATTGATCATGCTTTCTATAGTTATCAAGAATTCCTGAATTTTGACTGGGCTCAAAGGCGATAGCATTTGGTAGGACTGGTTAGTGGAAATTTGGTTGACATGATGTTGGAGGGTTCTCCTCTATCAACTTTCCTGAATGTAATCTATTTTATTGACATATATATATGTTGAAAATTTTAAATTTTAAATGTACTCTAATTATTGACTTGTATAAATTGATTGATTGATTGATTGATTGATTGATTGAATAATAATAATAATATGTCTTTATTCATATTGCCCGAATTACAAAATAATCAAAACCTCGATGGTACACAAAATTTATCAGACAATATGTAAGGGCGGAATTCAGTCACTCCTATCCGAACATAACTAGGAGCTTTGTTTTTATTTACAGAACAGTTTTGATTTCTTTATATTTGATATTCTCATTTTACAAACATTCTGAGGTTTGTTAACTAAAATTTGTCTATGGATTGAAATAAAGTTGACATTATTACTCCTTTTTAGTGAACCGGCATAGTATAATAATTGTGCATTTTGTGATACAAGCATGAAATTATTATCATCCTCAGTACATTACCTATATGAACATGATTTCAGGATACTGGGGCCCTTCATATAGTTCGCATGCGTGAGATTTGGGAGCGATTGGAACTTTCAGTGCTTATCGTAAAGTACCTACTAAATAAATTCATTTTTAACAAAACTATCAATTTCTGAACAAACTCCTGAAACACTTCGATTTCTATTTTGAATTTGCTACACTTATAAGAAAAGAATAAATATTCAGGGTTATCCAAGTTTGAGTAATGACGTCCGTAACAACTGTTTCTAATGAAACACACTATATACATACATTTTTGGAATCTTCATGGAGAGTTTGATTCAAAAATATATCACACATAGGGTTCGTATACAGTGCGTCTGTCAAATTCAGTAGTGGATGTATATGATAACCTCATTTTGCCTACACGAATCAGTCTGTATGTATCAATTGAATTTGAGGTGTGATATATTTTTGAATTCAGCCCCCCATGAAAATTCAAAAACTTGAATAATAGATAGGGTGTTTTATTGTCTTAAATATTCAAATGAGGAGCACCCTGTATATTTAATTTTGCCTTCTGAATGTGGTGAATTGAGATTAAAAATCAACACGTTTAGGAAATTTCTCAGAATTGCATCGTTCAGCTGAAAATTAATTCATTCAGCAGTTACGATGGCACTGACGTATTTTCTTGAACAATTTTATACTCGTGCATATTTTTGAGCATTAGAACATCGACGTTACAATTTATTTATTCTATTCCGTGGAGCACACGAAAGGGTTTCCGTAATATATTCGAAGAACATCGTGCGTACCCAGGGAGGATAGGAAAAAAAGCTTTGAGTATTTGATTTTTTTTCAACTCTCGGAGATTATTAGTTCTTGGGAATACTATCTTTGGCGAATAGAAAAATTTCGAAGCTTCGCCGTTCTACAGTCTCACTTCTAATGGAAACACCCCTGTATCTTTCGTAATTGTTGAGTTAGGATTCTAAAACTTGCAGGGGCAGAAGATATACTTAAAATACGTGATTATTAAGGTATAGGTTTCTGAAATTCGCAGGAGAAAAAGGGGGTCACTCACGTGAGATACGGGGGTACTTCCATAAAAAGTAAGGCAAAATTTAATTTTTCAGAACTGAGAATATTTCCCAGATAAAGTATGGATATCAGTGAATTGGGCGTCCTGATTTCGAATCCAAATAGTGATCTTCAACCTATCTTGCCTCCTAATATCATTTTACGGAAATGTGGATGGTTCCATGGCTGTTGGCTAGCAGCGTATATCACTGAAGATGACTTCACATGGTTATAGTTTGTTTTTTTTAGTATATATCTTCCGCTCCTGCAAATTTCAGAATCCTAACTCAACAATAACGATAGATACAGGGGTGTTTCCGTTAGAGGTGAGACATACCGTATATACAAACAAGTTTTGGTGAAGAGTTGTTCGACATATTGCGAGATTGACGACGAGGATATGCTGAATGGGCTCGTTATTTAATTGTTAAAATTATCAATTCTTTTATTAATTACTAGAAAAGCCCATTTCTCAATATCTACTATACTCGGTGTTATTTATGGTAGTAACATGGATCTTCTCCCGGTGTGATTAAATGCAAAATAATGATTCCTGTGGCGTCTTTGTGAGTTTTATATTT